TGCGCTTCTATGACAGGATATGATTATTTCCATAAAAACCGATTAAACTATAACAGAGCCAGTGGCGGAGTTGCTATATTTATTAAATCATTCACAATGGCTAAAGAATTACAGATAAACTCAAATTTAGAAGCAGTAGCGATACAAATTAAATTTCCCTTAGCTATGACAATATGCAACATTTATCTTCCTAATAGTAACCAAATTAATATTGACGAATTTAATGATTTAATTAGACAATTGCCAACACCTTTTATAGTTTTAGGTGATTTTAACAGTCATCATTTTTATTGGGGCTCTGATAAATGTGACACCAGAGGTAAAATAATAGCTGAATGGCTTGATAATCATGATAATGTACTAGTATTAAACAATGGCCAGCCAACTCACTTTAATAGTAATTCTGGTCACTCAAGCTGTATAGATTTAACTTTGGCTTCACAAGATATATCATCATATTTTGAATGGAATGTTTTAGAAGATCTATACGATAGTGATCATTTTCCAATTTTAATTAAATCTCAAATTTTTCATGACATACCTAGCGATATTAGACTACCAAAAAAATGGAAGTTTGATAAAGCTGACTGGTTACAATTTACCGAAGATATTAATGAAAATATTTCTAGTTTAATAAGTTTAGAGTCTACTTTTGACTGTCCGATTAACAATATTGTTGAAAATTTTACAAAAATGATCCTTGCAGCAGCTAACAAATCAATACCTAAAACATCAGGTACCTTAAAAAAATACAACCTACCGTGGTGGAATGATGAATGTAAAAATGCAATTAGAGAAACTAAAAAAGCGCTAAAACTATTTAAAAAATTTGCTAGAAACGATCCTAATTCGGTATATAAAATTGAATATAAAAAAAAGAGAGCCTACTACCGAAGGCTCCTCAAAGAGAGTAGAAAGAGGTATTGGGAAAATTGGGTTTCGTCAATTAATAATAGAACACTTACTGGTGATATGTGGAAAAAGTTACAAATACTTAATCATAATAAAATTAGATTTAACAATATTATAATTCAGAATTCAGACGGCACATTCATATACAATCCATCAGAAACTTCTCACCTACTAGCAACATCCTTCGCAACTAATTCTAGCTCAAGTAATTATGATGATCAATTTATTGGGTATAAAAGAAGTCATGAGTCGGCATCTAATTTTGATGTTTTAGATAACTCTAATTCGATTAATAAGGACATCCAAATGCATGAATTGTTACTAGTCTTGTCTCAACTAGGTAATTCTAGTCCAGGTCCAGACAACATTCCAAATACAATAATTAAAAACTTACCAATCTCTGGACTAGAATACTTACTTCAATTGTACAATTACATTTGGAAGAAACAGGTGTTCCCAGATGCCTGGAAAGAAGCGTTAGTAGTTCCCATATTAAAACCCGGAAAAATATCAAGTTTGACAACAAGTTATAGACCAATCTCTCTAACATGTAACCTTTGTAAAATACTCGAAAAAATTATTAGCAAAAGAATTAGGTGGTATATAGAATCAAATAAACATCTTTCGCCATTTCAATACGGTTTTCGTCAGTTCCGTTCAACAACAGACCACTTAATGAATATCGAAAGTGAAGTACTTGATAGCTTTGCAAATAATAATTATTCTGTGATTGTAGCCCTAGACATAGAAAAAGCTTATGAAATGGTTTGGAAACACAGAGTTCTTCAACTACTACAAGACATTGATATAAAAGGAAACATTCTAGCATTTGTAAGAAACTTTCTTTCAGATAGATCAATTAAAGTTAGAATCAATGAAACTTTATCTGACCCTGTTTCTATAGAAAACGGTCTTCCTCAAGGCTCTGTGCTTAGTGTAATCCTTTTTTTACTTGCAATTAACGATGTTCTTTCATATATTAAAAAACCGGTAAAGGGATTTCTATTTGCCGATGATTTAACAGTAATTTGCAGTGGTAGAACATTAAAACCTACATTAAATCTAATTCAAAATACACTTAATAGTCTCCAAGAATGGTCTAATAAATCAGGATTTAAGTTTTCAAAGACTAAAACAGAATATATCGTATTAAATAATAAGAAAAGTAAAACTAATAACGAACATTTAATACTAAATGACCATATTATAAAAGAAGTAAATAATTTGAAAATTTTAGGTTTAACATTTGATAAAAAAATGTCTTGGATTGCTCATATTAATAAACTTAAGTCAGAATGTTATAAAAGATTAAACATAATAAAAATATTATCATCAACTACATGGGGATCTGATAGGAAATGTTTAATAAATACATATCATGCCTTAATTCGACAAAAAATTGATTACGGTTCTATTATTTATGATTCTGCAAAACAACGTACATTAAATTCATTAGAAAGCATTCAAAATACTGCCCTTCGATTATGTATTGGTGCATTTAGGACCAGTCCAATTATGAGTATTTTAGCTGAAGCTGGAGAAACCCCATTAGGAATAAGAAGAAAGCAGCTAGTAACTGTATATGCTATAAATATATTATCTCAACCTGATACTTCAACTTATGATTACTATACTAAAACATCGGCCGTAGATGCTGAATATGAATTTCAAAGTAATTTATCAAAACCCTTGCGTATTAGAGCAGCCAAATATTTAAATGAATTAAACATTACAGTGCCACATATACTTACAAAAAATCACTAACATGTGCTCCCTGGAAAACTTACGAATTTCCTATTAATCTTGAGCTAGACAAGTACCATAAAGACGATACCTCTCCGTTCACATATAAAACCTTATTTAATGAAATGCATAATGAATATAAAGATCACATTTTTTTTATACTGATGGATCAGTTTTGAATGGAAGGTCAGGGTGTTCAGTGGTAACTGGAAATTTATCTTACCGGTATAGACTTTGGAATTATTATTCGATTTTTAGTTGTGAAGCAACAGCTATCCTCAGAGCTTTAGATTTAATACATACGGAATCTAATCTAATGAAATATATAATTTATTCAGATTCTAAATCATGCCTAACAGCGTTACAAAATCCAAAAAATATTAATCCTCTTATTATAGAAATTAAACAAAAAATGATTAATCTCTTAGAAAATGGTTACAAATTTGAAATTATATGGATTCCAAGTCATCAAGGTATTGCTGGTAATGAAAAAGCTGATAGTGAAGCTAGAAATGCAACTAATGAAAATGATATTTCTAATATAATTAAACCAACCCACAGTGATTTTCATAAACATATAAAGTATACAATTAAAATTTACTGGGACACATTTTGGAAGACAGGAAACACATCAAAATTATTTAATGTTAGGAATTCAATTTTTGATAAATCACCTCTGTTATTTAACTGTAGAAAAGATCAAGTAGTTATCACGAGATTGCGTATTGGTCATACCAATATGACACATATTCATTTAATAACTAAGGCTGACAGAAACAAATGCAAGTGTGGTCTAGATTTGACTGTATACCATATTTTGATAGAATGTCCAGCATATAATAATGAGAAACGGTTATGTAATGTACCAAATAATTTAAAGGATTGTTTAAATCAAGATGGTTGTACGAGAATTCTTAAATTTTTGAAAATGATAAACATGTACCAATTGATATAAATTTTTGTATGTAACTTAGATCCAATGTGGTCGCTAATGACCTTAGATGTTAAAAAGCGACCTAAAATAAATAAATTAAAAAAAAAAAAAAAAACAAACCGACTTCCAGGGACTAAAATGTAAAAAAAGTAACTAAACGGGGGTTTTCATTTAGAATAGATACCTAACTCTTTCATACTATTTTCTTTGCAGAACTATTTTACTAATACAAAATAGCACTGCGCTATCACAGTGTCGTAGAACATAATATAATATAAAAACCGACTTCAAACAAAAGCACTAAAAAGTAAAAAATAACTGATTCGTAGTTTTCATTTACTATACATACCTAATCAAATATTTTCGAAGTCGGTGTGCTTTGGACAAGTAATTAAAGCCTACCTATTAAATACATACATACCTAATCAACTATTTTCGAAATCGGTGCCAGCCCATACAAAGCAAAGCACACCGACTTCGAAAATATTTGATTAGGTATGTATAGTAAATGAAAACTACCAATCAGTTATTTTTTACTTTTTAGTGCTTTTGTTTGATGTCGGTTTTTATTTTTTTGTTAAATAGTTTTTATTTTTCCCTTTTTAGTGTACACTATAGTAGCGAAGTAAGAATTCTAACGTGTTAGGCTTGTCAAATCAAACAAAATAAGCCCAAACTCGAAGTATCTACTATTAGCCGTTGAAGAGTTCCACCTATCCACCTTCTGGCCTTACCATCAGATCAGGTCAATAATACCGAACCACTGTACTATCAACGGAAATAGAAACACTTGCAAATTTAAATTTAATATGACAATTAGAAGTAGGTTAAATTCATCATTAGCTGTTTTTCCACCATTAGAGGTGGTATTTTTTTTTAATATTTAAATGGGACCAATCTGGAAGTATACCCTTTAAAACAACACAATAATTGTCCAAATCGGTTAATAAATGACGGAGTTCTGAGGTAACAAACATAAAAAAAAAACATACAGTCGAATTGAGAACCTCCTCCTTTTTGAAGTCGGTTGAAAATAATCTTGTAATTCAAATTTTAGCATTTGTTTAATGTTATTAATTTTGTTTTAATACTTTTTTATATTTTTATTTATTAAAAACCTTGTTTAAAAGTAATCATGAACCATATAATACTACCATATAATAATTAATTCTAGAATTTCATTAAATTAATTCACCTCGAGCGTTAAATGCAGGTGTTGGTGATTTACGGCGTAGTAAATAGTACCAATTAAGATAATAAAATGGACAAAATTATGTCATTCTCATATTTAAGATCTCCATCCATTATTAATGACTCGATGGATATAATTTATCGCTCATAGCTGTCTTTTATAAGATTTATTTGTCAAGTCGTAAATATAATGTAAGGAAATGTTACCACAATAACTTACCTACAACGGTGAGCCAGAATGACAAACTGATTTTTGGTTCAGTGGATACTTGGCATTCGTAGGCGCCCGAGTCTCTAGGCTGAGCGTGTGCCACCCGCAGCGTCCATTCGTCTGAACCGTCCGTGTGTAACGCCGCAAAACGCGCGTCACTACTGTACGTGTGAACACCGACTGTGAGGATGTGTAAATCTCTCTTTCTTATCCAGGATACCTGTAACAATAAAGTTTTAGTGTTTACTGTTTCAGGTGAAACTAAATGAATATATAACTATATGAATATATAAATATATAACTATATGAATATATAAATATATAACTATATGAATATATAAATATATAACTATATGAATAAACATAACTAAATGAAATATTATGCGACATTACTTAGGTCCAGATTTAAAAAACGTCGTTGACCGCTTCCATGACAACCAAACGATCAGAACAAATCCGTAAGTACTCGTAAATTTATAAATAAATACTCTTGTCTAAGGCAAGAATCAAACCGATTAATGGTTTTTTTCTTATGAAGGTCACAAAATCGAAGGCCACTGAAAAATGACATAATTCTTTTAGAAAATATAAAAAAATAATAATTTTCATCCCTCATAAACAACCTCGACAAGGACATCTGACAAATATTTAGATAAAGAATGCTTAACGACAAGGCTGAAACAAAACATTCAAAGGAATTTGTAGGGAGATCATAATAATAAATCTTCTCCCATTTGGATTACAGCATGTTTTGCCAAACGAGTGTTTTAATTGCATTCTAGCATTTTATTGTTTACTCAATTACAGCGAACGTTCGTAAAATATTATTTTGTAGCGCGTTCATTGGTTTTTTTGTACTGTAGCGCGGCGATAAATGCTTATTACTTAATCAGATTTAGAAAATCTTGTAGCAAATTATGAATTTTGTTATTAGGTACTACGTATATTTTTCGTTATTTCTTTTTTTTTTGGACTGCGCTCATATATTTTTTTATTATATTTACAAGGGTGTTTTTTTTAATAATAATAGTAGCGTTTTCCTGCGGCTTCGCCCGCATAGTACATTAATCGCCAACATATTATATACTAAAACCTTCTCCGAAACACGCTGCATCTTATGGTATGAGTATTATTCTGATTAGTTCAGTAGTTATCGCAGTATAACCGAACAAAAAAATCGTCTCTCTATTTATTAGTAGGTATAGATATGTTTATAGGTTTAGATGTCTAATTATTATTAAAGGATATTGTAAAAAAATATACAATAAACGACACAGAGCCAATCGATTTTAATGAAAATTAACAGTGTAAATGTAATGCAATGGCAAGCGAGGAAGTCCAGTGATCATAGAAAATACGGTATTAACTTACGTCACATGTACCAGAAGGGAGTAGAATTTATAGCGCGCAGGCTGCACTAGCTTAATATATATAGTGACGTTTAGTCTGGGGTCTGTCGTTACGACGCAGTTCAACGATTAACTAATAGTGTTTGCCTCAATAAAACCATTGAATTACAACTTTGTTGTAATAAACAACACTGTTATGTTGTATTCTCATTTATATATTCTTCGTTTTAGCTCTTAGATAATGCTTTATACAACTTTATTAGTTTGATTATCTTTATATTATAATTTATTTATAAGCAACTTGCCCTCGTTTCCTTCGGGTGCCCGTGGGTGCCTATGTGTTACTCTAAGAAATAGACTATATATGTACTCCAAACCCTTCCAGCCGTTTTAACGTTTGAAATTACAGAGAGGACATTGTTGTTATATGGTTATAAGCATAGGAATGTGAGACAGGTATGGGAAGTTGATTCCGAATTATAACAATATAAACTGGCATTATCAACGTATTATGGCTATTAGCAAAATTAGTAAAGTTCTCAAATAAGTTCTACGGCAGTCCAAAACACAAATTGAAGTGTTGATTATAATATATCACCTCCCAAAGACTGAATGTCATGTGCGTAACTACGAAAATAAGAATTTATTTGATCTTTTGAAGTTATGATACATGTCTGAAACTTTATTAATCAATTAGCAGCGTATCTCATTTCTATGATCGTGATATTTACAAAGTAGTTATTATATGTGATGAAGTAAAATTAGATGTAAAAATATTACATAATAATTAGCGACTCACCCTCGCTACGCTCGGGTTCGTCCCTGGGTCTGGGAGGACCACCCTTATCCTTATAACTTAGGGGTATGGAAAATAGATAGTAGCCGATTCTCAGACCTACTGAATACGCATATAAAATTTGGTAAAAATCGGTAAAGCCGTTTCGGAGGAGTACGGTAACTAACATTGTGACATGGAAATTTTATATATAAGATATTTAAGTTGCCTGATATTTTATTAAGATACACCTACGAGTATTTACCGTTTATATATAATTTGTATATATAATTAGTTTCGATTATTTAAGCCACAAAAATGCTGTGTTTTTAGCAAACAATAAATTGAACTGGTGCTACGAACTTTAAATTTAATAGCAACACTACGCTGTTTGAGCACTCTTAAGTTAGTTTTAATTTAAATACAGTAAATATTTGTTTTCTTTTTACTACTAGAAAGTACATCGTTAATCTATATTTACTATATATCTAATATATTTAAACGAGCAATTCTTGTATATTTATTCATTTACATATACCGGCGAACTCGGAAACGGCTCTAACGATTTCGCAGAAATTTGTTATGTGGGGCTTTTTGGGGGCGAAAAATCGATCTAGATTAGTCTTATATCTGGGAAAACGCGTGTTTTCGAATTTTCATGAGATTTTCTTTCGCATTATTCTACGCAAAATATGGTCACTAAATTCGCACGCCCCGAGCGTAATCAATAAGCATCGTAATCAAGCGGCCAAGGCACATGATTGACAATCACAGGTGTCCGAGTTAAAATCCCGATAGGATACAAAGTTTTAACTTTTGTTTCTTTTTTTGTCAATAACATTTTCCATTTAATGTATTTAAACCTAGGCTTTTATACATCATTCCAGTCTGAAGACTCCAAATGTAATTTTCAAATAAAAAAGCGTCGCCCTTCAACACGGTAAATTTTCAACGATGCAGCAGATTTCCTTTCAGTGAATTTGAGAGCGTCGATGCGGAACAATATGGGGGCGATCCGCAATTAATTGCAGTACTAGCAAGGTAAGCCAGAGCAAAAGTATACTATAAAATACTGTTAAAAGTTATTATAATTAATGAACTACACATACCTCAACTACACAAGATATCTATACATATAATAAAATTCAAACTAAGCCGAATCTGTACATTAAATATTTTTTGGAAAATCTTATTAAAATAGACATTATTTTCGATACAGTGGCCGTTTGTAGAATTTTTGTCTGTCTGTCTGTTACCGCATCACTGAAAAATCACTGGAGGGATTTTGATGAAATTTGGTATGGTGATAGCTGTTAATAACTAAAAATGTATAGAGAGAGATAGGCTGAAACTCTATAGCGATTTATTCAAATAGACTTTTACAAAGACGTTCGTGTAATTAATTTAATTTAAAGTAAACCAAATAGACAGTCTTATGAGCCGCACCTTCAGTTGGAAGTGTAGTTCTGCTACGAAGTTATTTTAATATTTTTTATACAATACAGTATTAAAGAAAGAGAATACTTTATAAGAGCAAAGTAGCAGGTACAAATTATATTTCGTTGTATGAAACATTAATATTTATTAAAATATATATAAATAAATAAAAAAAAACTGCTATAAGACGAGTTCTAATCAAAATTTTCTATATGCAGTTGAATATTTAAAAAAATATTGAGAGATTAAATAAATCGCCAGACTGAAAAATGGAGCAAGATTAGAATCGGTCTCAGTAAATGCTCTTATTTAACCAGACCATTTTAAAAATGAGAGCATTACTCAAAGAAGATGTTTAAGTAAATAATGACTGAGAGTTTCGATGAAAAATGACGTTATTTTTAACTGAATTATGTAGGAAACTAAGTTCTTTTAAATAAATTTTACATGTAGCAGTACTAGTATTTGATTCTTATCCGACTTTAAATAAAGAAGAAGTACTCAGTTCAGTTGTATGTTTTTGATATGCATATTATTAACTTCTTCAGTGGTCGAGTGGCTAGCATGAACGGTAGATTCGAACATCACGGGTTCGAGTCCCGCGTCAAGCCAAGTTTAGTTATTGACTATTTCTCTCAAGAAATTCTTCTCAATTACAATGCTCAGGAGTTGGGATGTTTCTCACCGGTCTTGTTAAAACGGTGACAGGAATAGAGTTTCTTGCGCTTGCACACATACTTCTGCATTAAAATATCTCCTGCACAAAGTTTTAATCTCGGTAACTAACTAATTTTAATAGAATCGCGGCAGCTGAAATCGTTCAGTAGGATATTACTATTATTATATATTTATTATTATATATAACGCGATCTCTTTGATTATAGTCTAACAAACATGTTTTACCTCAAAGATCAATCGACATAAAAAAGGAAAATAAGTCAAATAATTTGGAAACCGTTGTACCTTTTAAGTTAAAAGCTTTTTATTAATTCTATTGTATTACAAAGGCACCAAAGATCAAGTAAAACAAATAGGTATAATGAGTTTTGAATTTTTTTCACTCAACATTTTCAGTGGTATTGTTGTACTGCTAATTATCTACTAAGTAATTATTTTTTTACTCATTTAGTCAGTTACAGATAGCACACAACCTAGATATAGATAGATATTGGGTCTAAAAGCATGATCTTTAAAAGCTTGAAAAAAAGTCCCAATGTAGCTTTTGTAAAGATATGGTTAATTGATCGATAATGATAAGTAAGGAAAGCTTTAGATAGATAGGTTATTAAGAACCAACGTAAATAGGTTTATAATGGCTCAAGAAATGAAACAACGAAGCAAAGGGGAGTTATTTATGTTACCTTAGTAGGTTCAACTTCAAACAAAAATTGAAGCGCGACTTAAATTTTCATCTTGTCACGTTCTAATATTGATCAGATTACTGAGCAGTAAGCACCAATTTTACTATGAATTTCGTATATTTGAAAACATAAAATTAGGTTACAATGGTCATTATTTGAGCAACTAACTTTTTATTAGAAAATATATAAAATAAATAAATAAAATAAATATGTTGGGACATTAACACACAGCACCATCTAGTTCCATGGTAAGTACGAGGCTTGTGTTATGGATACCAAATAGTTGATACACTACATA